ATCTGCTACACAGCAGTAGAAAACTAACACAATTTAAATTCCTAATCTCTGGATATGTTAGTCAACTTTCAACCACTGTAAAGAAGAAAAGAATATCTGAGATAACATATAAAGATAAAGGCATTATTTTGGCTCACACTTTTGGAGATTTCAGTTCATGACTGATTGGCCCCATTGGTTTGAGCTTGTAGTAGCATGTCATGGTAGAAGTGTGTGGCAAAGCAATCAAAAGTGGAAGAAGATATCAGGGTCCCACAATCTCCTTTGAAGCCATAACCTCAATGATCTAAAACCTCCTACTAGTCTCTACTTCTTAAAGTTTCCACCATCTCCGAATAGTGCCACAGGCTATTTAACACATGAGCCTTTGGGGGATATTCCAAATCCAAACTGTAAGTAAGAGGCATAGTCCCTTTGACTACTGAGGAGTAGTCAAATTGCTGTTGGAGGGGAAAGAGAGAACATGAACAATGGATGGGTTATACAAGAGTCAACCTCAATAAAATTCATCCTCTTAAAAAAAAAAAGAGCTAATCTCATTGAACATAAACTTGATGAAGGTCAGAAGCACAAAGAAAGCAACACTGATTCATCTGAAGTGACTCCAAGCTTCTGGGTCAGGCAGGACTCAGGGCAACATATTCATTCCTATGCTGATTTTCTAGCTCTGACTGCTGACAGTTTTCTCCCAACAGATCCCTAGATTTGGTTGGTTAGAAGCACCATGAACACTCCCTTCCTTTGCCAATCGAAATATTTGCTCTTAAATAAGTTAGTTGTTGTTTTCTTTTCATGTGGAGGAAAATATAGGCCAAGAAATTCCTCTGATTGTGTGTAATTTATTCATGGTTTGAGGCTTCTCCTGTTGACTTTTTAATTTAATTTCAGTTGGACACATTAGCTCACATAAGAATGCCTCCTAAAAAAAGAATGCCTCCTGTAGACATTTACATTCCTTTTTAAGCTCTTCTGCCATAGGAGAAAGATGAAAGAAATATAAAAGTTAACACTCCAACTAATAGGAAGTATTTTTCTCTCTTTCTTCTCTTTCCCTCTTTCCTTTCTTCCTTCATTCCTTCATTTCTTTCTCTCCTCCTTTCTCCATCCCCTCCTTCCTTTCCACTAAAATTTTTTGAGCATCAAGTATTTGCTTGGCATTAGTTATCCAATTTAATTTATCTAATTTAAGCCTCCTAATGATGATGTGGTGAATATTAATGATTCTTTTTAAAGAATCTCCTGTTTGGAGAAATCTGGTGTTCTATTAGATAATTTTTTTTTCCTGTACTGTGTATGGAACTCAGGACCTACCTTGTGCTTATGAGGTAGGTGCTGCGCCATTGAGTTAAATCTCCGGCCCTCCTATTGGATAATTTTTGTCTCTTTATAGTCATATAGCTCCAAAACCTCTGTAATATGAATATCTTTGTATCCGTAGGAAAAAAATAGAAATGATACATACATTTTCTCCAGAAGTTCTAAGTTTTACATGTACCAAAGGTGGCTACATATGATTTCCTTCTAACTAATCACCAAGATACAGATTATATTTCCTGTGTGCTCAATGTATATTGGAGAGAAAAACAAAACAGTTTCTGCCACTTTTTTCTGTCCCTTCCATGGGGACTTTTTTCTGTCTCTTTCATGTCAATAGAAGATCAGATTGTCTAAAAAAAAAATGACAGCAATATCCAGGCTGAGTGGCACAGGCCTGTAATCCAGATGCATGTGAGGCTGAGCCAGAAGATCACAAGTTCAAGCCTAGCCTAGGTAACTTATGAGACCTTGTCTCAAAATAAAAAATATAAAAACGGGCTGGGGATGTAGCTCAGCTCTCACTGGGCTCAATCCCCAGTAATGCCAAAAACAGTAACAACAACAACAACAACAACAACAAAGAGAAGCATATACACTGTCCTGACACAGCTTGTGGTACATGGCCAGAGTCTTTAGACTTGCTTTACTTAGCTTGGGAAGGCTTTTGGTACGGAGGCTATGAGGACTGGCTCTGGAATCACACAGACCTGAGTCATATCCCCATCCTACTCACTTACTAGCTCTGACTCTGGTAATAACAGTTTCTACCTCTTACAATTCTTTTAAAAAAGTCAAAGAAATAATACATCTGAAATGCTTCATCCACTGCCTGGGATGAAGCAAGGGTATGACAAATGTGGTCATTACTATCATAATTTCTTTTATCTTTCTGCACTTCACCTTCCTCTGCTGCAGACCTGGGTAGATGGGTGTCCCTTAAGTGGCAGGTAGATTCTAAGATGGCCCCTACTGATCCCCACTTCCTGGTATTCAAGCCTTTGTGTAATCCCCTGTGGGAAAGACCTATAACTTGCTGGCACCCCACCACCACCACCACTGGGAATTGAACTGGGGCCTTCATACTGAGCTACAGCCACAGCCCTTTTAAAAAAATTTTTAAAGTTTTGAAACAGGGTCTCGCTAAATTACTAAATTGCCCAGATTGGACTTGAAGGTTTTTTTTTTTTGATATTGGGGATCGAATTCCAGTCTTTGCACTTGTGCAGCAGGTGGCGAAACCACTGGGCTAAATCCCCAGCCCTTGGACTTGAAGTTGTGATCCTCTTGCCTCAACCTTCCAGAGTGCTGAAATTACAGTTGTGTGCCACTGTGCCTGGTGACCTGTGGCTTGCTTCTAACTAAAAGAACATGACAAAAGTGACATTACTTGCATGATTATGTTTGGGTTTTTTTGGTACTGGGGATCGAACTCGGGTCCTTGCACTTGTGCAGCAGGTGGCGAAACCACTGACCTAAATCCCCCACCCCCACTTGCATGATTATGTAAGATTGTGACTTCTGTCTTCCTAGTAGACACTCACTATCATCTTATCAGCTTGCATGACAAAGCAAGCTACCATGATGGAAAAGTCCACGTGATGAATCACTGAGAGCAGCTTCTGCTGAGATCAAGGAACAGAGGCTCTCAGTTCAATACCCATAAAGAAACTGAACTTGGTCTACAGACTTGTGAACTTGCTGTTTGTTTTGTGGTACCGGGTTGGAAACGTAGGGGCCTCATGCATGCTTTTTTTGTTTGTTTGTTTGGCGATGGAACTCAGGACCTTGCACTTGAGAGGCAGGTACAGCACCAGTGAGCTAAATCCCCGGCCCTCATGCATGCTAAGGAGACACTTTACCACTAAGTTATATCTCTAGTCTGAGCCATGTGAACTTGGAAGCAGTTTCTTTGTGGTTTCTTTTCTTTTTCTTTTTTTTTTTTTTGTAACAAGGATCGAACTCAGGACCTTGTGCTTGCGAGGCAGGCATGGTGCCACTGAGCTAAATCCCCAATCCTGTTGTTTTTTTAAAGATGAGCGTTCAGATGAGACTCCAGCCCTGGATAATACCTTTTGCAGCTTAGGGGGGGACCTAGATGCAGAGGAACCATGCTCAGATTCCTGACCCACAGACAAAGTGAGCAAGTATGCATTGTCCTAAGCCAGTGATGGCGAACCTTTTAGAGATGAGTACCCAAATTGCAACCCCAAACCCACTTATTTATCAGAAAATGCCAACACTCCAGTTAAAACTCAATGCTGAGGTTTCAATTTAGAAAAAACAGCTCATACATTCACATCTTTTGTCTTACAAGAAAAATAAATAACATGTGTGCCATAGGCTTGCCAGAACTGTGCTAAACTGCAAAGTCTGTGGCAATTGTTACACAAAAATATATATAACTAATTAGCACCCCCCACCCCCATGCGCGCTCATTCCATTTCTGGATTAGAGCCCATCTCCCCTACTTTTTTAGCACCTTGCATTTATCACATTGTCTCAGGTGTTGTTTTTCTTGTGCCCCTACATTGTAAGCTCCTGAGGACCGGCCTCAGACTAAGCACTTCTTGTTGCTTGACGGTAGATAGCACGGCCTGGCACTAAGAGGGTGCCAGGTAATACAGTACTTCACACTCCCTAAGGCTGGGCTGGGTATTCCTTTTTTTTTTTTTTTTTTTTGGTATCAGGGATCAAACTCGGGACCTTGCGCTTGGGAGGCAGGCGGCAGAACCACTGAGCTAAATCCCCTTCCCCAAGGGCTGGGTATTCCTTTATGAGCATCCAAAACACCTCAATGATGATGACAGTGGTTGTTTTTGAATGTTTACTGTGTGCCAGGCACTGAGATAAAGCCAGGCATCAGTATTTTCTTTTTTTCCTTCCTCCCTCTCTCCCTCTTTCCTCCCTTTCTGCCTTTCTTTTCTTTCTTTTTTCAGTGCTGGGGATAGAACCAAGGATCTTGCGCATGCTAGAAAAGTGCTCTACCGCTGAGTGACATCCAGCCCGAGGGATGAGTATTCTTTTTTTTTTTTTTTATGGTACTGGGAATAGAATTCAAAGGGATGAATATTCTTAACTAGCTTTGTGTGATGATTCTGATCCAGAGACAGGCTTGGGACCCACTAACCCTGCACCACCTGAGATGATCTGTGGAAAAATTGCATCCACCAGATAGTTGCACTATCTGATTAAAAACTGCAAGGCAGCAAATTTTGTATTACATACATATGGAAAAGCAGACAAATCCTAAGCGTACAATTTGATAAATTTTCCTAAGTGAATCCATCTCTACAGCCACCACCAAGATGAAGACAAGGGACATCCTCAGCCTCACTTGTGTGTCCTCGCAGTTCACTAGCCCAGAGCGGTAGCCACCATCATAACTCCATCCTCACCAGTTCTTATAAATGAAATCACAGTCTGTACTCATTTCTCTGCCTTCATTTGTCTGTACTCATTTGTTTGCTCAAGATTATGTTACACTTTCCACTTGTTAAAACTTTTGGCTTAATTTGTAGAATAATGACTGATGCCTAGGATTCTGAAAAGCCGTCCTGGGTATTATTTTTGTATTTTCCAAGAGATGGAATCCCATAACTCGACCTGGGAGAAGGGGGCGTGGTTACAGGCCTAAAAACCACAGCTTGGGGGCGGGGCCTTAAAGCATGGGGGAGTGGCCACGGTCCAGCCTTTCGGTGGCAGTCGGCGCTGAGGGCAGGGTTGGGCCGGGGTTTCCGGTCTGGGCCTGCGGAATCACTGTTTGACCTCGGAAGTGCGGGAGCTCCCGGAGCTGTCACCCGGAACGGCGGTGCCGGTGGTGAAGCCGCCGAGGTGAGTGTGTGGCTGATCCTTGCCGGATCGGGGTCTGGGGCTCGGGAGGAGCCGCGGCTGTGCCTCGGCGGCCTCGGCACTCCTACCGCGGACAGCCCCGGGGCCGAGGCTTACCTTCCTTAAGGGAGGGGCCGTGAGCCGCTCCACTCCAAGGCTAGGCCGCCCGAGGGACCAGGAGCCACGGGTGGGAGGCCCAGCACCGCACCTCCCACACCTGGGGCTTCGGTTTCCTCGGGGTTCATTCATTCGTTTAGCAAATAGTTGTTGAGTGCCTCCTACTCTTAGGCACAGACCTGGGCACTGAAGATACAAACTGAGCAAGACAGACAAGGCTTTTGCCTTCATGGACTGACAGTGTAAAGGGAGGAATCAGTCGACAAGTAAATGTACACGGTAATTAAAGATATGACAAATTGGGAGAGTGAATAGAGCGATTTAGGAGGGTTTCAGAGGAGAGTAATGTTGAATTTAGACAAGAAGAGTAATGACAGAAAAACTAAGGGAACAGTAGCCTGGGAGTGCTGGCAGACCATATTATAATTGGTGCTTGTACTGCATGCTCCCCTAAGCAAAAGCCCTTTTCTAACTCCTTGCTTCTCTTCCCTGCACCACACAGGAGTATAGTGGTGAGCACAGATATAACCATGACTGTTGTCCTTGTCTTTTTAAATTCCTACCAGTACCTTAGATAAAAACTAAAATCCCGTTTGACATCCTCCTTTCCTTAAGTCACTTTTCTCTGTAAATGCTACCTGATCCTTATCTATATAACAAACGTCATGATGATTTTATGGCTATTGGATTTGTATCTGTCATTTCTATAAAAACAATAAGCACCATGAAGGGTTTGTTATTTGCCCACTTTACTATTATTCTGTAGGTGTCAATGCCAGCCACATAGTAGATACTGAAAGGTCTCTGCGTGTATGAAATGATTAACACAGCACTGTTTGCTCTCCAATGGTTCAGAGGAGGCCTTTCCTGCACCAGGTTATCATCATCTTCATTTATCTAGTTAGTTAGAGACATGGACTTCCCAAGTCACTAAATTGCCCTAGCTATTAAACTAGCTATATATTAAACTAGCTCCTGCCTCAGCTTCTCAGAGTGCTGGCATTATGCATGTACCACCTTGCCCTGCTCATCGTCTTAACCTGTCACCATCTTCAAATGAAAGTCCAAAATTTTTAGCGTAGCACTCAAGCCTGTTTTTAAACTGATTCTGTCTTCCCTATCCAACCTCTTTCCTCCTCACTTCCATCATTTTCTTTACTCTGTGTTTTCAGCAACATTAAATGTATCCTTCCTTTTTCAAAGCCACACTTTTTATGACTTTGAGCCTTTGTTCATGTTTGTTCTTGCTTGGAATGCCTATTTTTTCCTCCTATTCTTCAACATCCAAGTTATGTTACCTATGTCACCTTTGTGCCTTCCTCCTTTTCTCTTCTGTGCTCTAGTTTTGGCAGTTTCCTGTTATAGCTCTAACATGGGGTGATAGTTATTTGCATCCCCAGGACCTAGAATGCTGAATAAATGAGGAAGCACAAAGTGCTCTGCCTATGCTTGGAACTTGAATGACAACAACTAAACTTTATGGAGGGTTTAGTATGTGCCAGATATTGTGTTGAACATTTAGCATTATATCTCAGAGCAACCCTTAAAGATCATGTATTACTATGATTCCATATTATAGATAAGAAAATCAAGGGTGCTGAGCATGGTGGCTCGTGCCTATAATCCCAGCAATTGGGAGGCTGAGACAGGAGGGTTGCTGTGAATTTGAGGCTAGCCTGGCCTCCATAGTGAGTTCAAGGCCAGCCTGAAGTACATAGCAAGGCCCTGTCTCAAAAGAAAATCAAGGGCTGGGGATTTACCTCAGTGGTTCTGCTGCCTGCCTCAAAAGCACAAGGTCCCAAGTACAATCCCCGGTACCACCAAAAAAAAAAGAATATCAAGAGTAGAGAGGTTAGGGAACTGTCTCAAGGTTTTAACATAGGAAGGAAAACATGGAGCCAGGATTTAAAGCCAGGCTGTAGGGCTATAGAGCTCTCTTTAACCACTGCATCAGCCTTGCCCTTCACTGCTTTTGCAGGCACTGGCTTGTACGAGTGAATTTTCTTCTTCTTCTTCTTCTTCTTCTTCTTCTCCTTCTCCTTCTCCTTCTCCTTTTCCTTCTCCTTCTCCTCCGTCTTCTCCTTGTTCTCCTTCTCCTTCTCTTCTCTTCTCTTCCTTCTCTTCCTTCTCCTCCTTCTCCTCCTTGTCCTCCTTCTCCTTCTTCTCCTTCTTTTCCTTCTCCTCCTCCTCCTCCTCCTCCTCCACCACCTCGTCCTCTTCCTTCTCCTTCTCCTCCTTTTCCTTCTTCTTTTCTCTTCTCTGTTTTTGAGACAGGTTCTTGCTATGATGTATGTGGCCCAGGCTGGCCTCAAACTCTTGACAATCCTCCTGCCACAGCCTCCCAAGTGCTGGGATTACAGGTGGGAGTGAATTTCTTCTGAAAGCAGGTTCTGTCTCTACCTATCTAGATCTAGACTCTGGCCTTGGATTTAAAAGATGAATTGCTGCTTCCTCCTTGTGATTTTCTCCTTACCTTCAGCCCCCACCCCTGATACTCCATTACCCTCTCTAGTATATGACCTTGGAAAGAATTAGATCTGTGAGTCATTTAGGCTTCTCTACTGGTGTATAGCTCACTAGTGTTTCCAGCTGCCTTCCCAGCAGCACTGTAATTGGGGTGGGGGAAGCATATTTTAATTTGTTCAGTACAAGAGCTCCATGTCCCAAGGCAGGACTGGATATCAATTTTTTTTTTTTTTGGTACCAGGGATCGAACTCAGGACCTTGTGCTTGTGAGGCAGGCACCAGAACCACTGAGCTAAACCCTGGCCCTGGACATCAATTTTAACTTGGCCACTAATGTATTTACCTTGAGCAAATCAGCCCTCCACCACATCTGAGCATAATAATCCTTGTCATTATGGATTGGGGTTCATAAGAGGCTAGTAAGATAGTAACTTGATTAAAAATTACATAGCCAGGCACAGTGGCATGTGCCTGTAATCCTAGCTATTCAGGGGACTAAGGCAGAAGGATCGTTTGAGCCTAGGAGTTCAGTGCCCACCTGGACAATATAGTGAGATAGTGAGACCTGTCTCTGTCTGTCCCTCTGTCTCTCTCTCTGTCTCTCTGTCTCTGTCTCTCTCTGTCTCTCTCTCTCTCTCTCTCATAGAATGAAAATGATCTATGCTTGGCAAAGCTAGAAGATGAAAACTTACCCCAAACCCTTCATTACTTTGCCTTATAATTTTTTCCAGTCCTTCCTTCCTTCCTGAAGTTTGAACCTAGAAGTGCTGTACCATTGAGCTTCATCTCCAGCTCTCTCTTTTTTTTTTTCATTTTGAGACAGGGTCTCACTAAGTTGCTCAGTCTGGCTTTGAACGTGCAGTCTGCCTGCCATAGCCTCCCCAGTAGCTAAAATTGCAGGCATGTGCCACAGTGCTTGGCTTTTTCAGAATATCTTGCGTGTAAGGATTCTAGAGCTACAACAGGGCATGAAGGCTAGACAGACTAGTTCTCTCTCATTACATCCCTCTAGAGTAAGGATTGTCACAGTCTAAAGAGACCAGACCCCAGGCACAGTGGTGCACACCTGTAGTCCCAGCTATTGAAGAGGCTGAAGCAGGAGGATCATTTGAGCCGAACCATTCAAGGCAGCCAGGAGACCTTGTTTCTTTCTTTTTTTTTTTTTTTTTTTTTTTTTTGGTACCAGGGATCGAACTCGGGTCCTTGCGCTTACAGCGAAACCAGAGCAAAATTCCCGTGACCTTGTTTCTTTAAAAACATCATAAAACAGACTAGAATCTGTATAGCTTGCTGCTTCCGTTTTCTATCCTCTGATCTGCTATTTCCTCTGCCTAGGCCATCTTTCTCCCCTAGTATCTTTAACTGTCTTCCTATCTCCAGGTCCTGGCCTGAAATCTGAGATAGAGGACACCTGGTAATATATGGCTGACCATGCCCCTCAGTTTGTCTGTGAGACCTCAGCAAGTGACAATTTCCTCCTCCCAGCCTTGATCTGTTGTCATTGAGACGATATTAGCCTTAAATGGCATGCCTTCTGAGTAGCCTAGTATGCATCCATTCCAAGATTTGGTCAATTCATGTGTTCCTCCAGTGGGACAGGCCTAGTGGTATTGTAAAAAGAAGATTGGATGGGAAGACAGGAGACCTGGAGTCTGTCATTCCCTGGCTTTTTTATTTTTGATTTTTTTTTTTATGCTAGCAATCCAACAGAGGACCTTGTGTGTATGCTAAGTACACTTTCTACCATTGAGCCACACCCAGCACCACCTGCTGCCTTTGAGGCAGTTTGGTCCTCTGTGCAAAGGAGCCAGCACTGGCAGGTTTCTATGAATTTTCTCTTTTTCCCTGGTTCTGCTACTCATCATGTCCTTCTTCTTTGAAGCTAGAGAGTCTGTAAACCTGCAAGCAAGGAAAGGCCCATGGCTCCAACCCTTAAAAGACCTGAAAGACCTGGTGAGAGTTGCAACAAAAGTGTCCTCATAGTCAGTCATTCCTCAGACATTTGATGTGGCTATGTCTGTTCCAGGTTTGTGCTGATCATAGGAAAGGTAGCAAGAGAAGTAGAGCCCTGGGTAGTATCTTCGCAGAACTCATAGTGTTACAGGGTTTGGGGGTGCTGGAGTCTCTTTCTAGAGGTGGTTTCTAGGTTCTTTCTGTCCTGCACAAAGAATTGGTTGAGACAAGCACAAACAGTGGCAAGGTTTTACATTTGTTAAAGATAGGAAAAGAAACGGACTCTGCAGAGCAAGTTGGGGCCAAGAAGAAGTAGGAAAAAAGATACAATGTACAGCATGAGAATATAGTGGCAGAGGTTCCATGGTATTTGTCCATTTTGTATCTTCCACTCCTCAGGCTGACATCAGGTGGAGGCTGTCCTGTTGAAAACCTGCTCCGATTCTCCCTAGAAGTCCACATTCGGGCTTTGGGAAATGTTCTGCATGTGTCCTGGGATTTTGTAATTAATAGGACACATCTACTTCCCCAGCCAGTTTTGCCTCGACCTTGTCTCCTGCCTCAGTAGGCTATTGAGCACACAGAGTTGGAGCCATAATAAAGATAATTTAGGGGGTTGCAGATGTCGCTTAATAGTAGAGTTCTTGCCTAGCATTGTCAGAGGTCATAGGTTCGATCCCCATTACTACCGACCAAAAAGTAAAAATAATCTAGGTACTTTTTAGCCAGTACTTCTCAAAAGGAGTGGGAGTCACCTGGGAAATATATTCCTCCACAGTTTGAGAATGACTGCTTTAGGTAAAACATCACTTTGTCGGGCTCAGTAACACATGAACTTGGTCTCGGAGGCCCACAACTAGAGTACACTAAGACTAGGGGTTAATGTTTCTCTTCTGGCTCTGGGATCAGCCCTGGAGCCCTGCCTCTAGGAGTCTGTGTGTCTGCTCTCTTCTTCCCATCCATATTCCTTTCAGGAGGGTCACATAGCACAATGCCAGCTCTGCCCCTGGATCAACTGCAGATCACCCACAAGGACCCGAAGACCGGAAAACAGAGGACTTCACCAGCGCTGGTGAGCAGGGGCCTTGAGGCCATTCAGCCTGATTATTATCAGTATTGCAATTTTAGAAGCAAAAAGTAAATTCCTCCCTTATCTGTTCCAAGAATGACCTGAGTGTCATAGTTAGTAATTCAGAAGCTGAGACACTACTAGGTCCTTCCAAGCCCAGTGTGGAAGTTTCCTTCTGAGCAGCAGCACAGATTTGGGCAGTATTTTCCATGTCACCACCCTATCGCCCCAAGCCCACCCAAAGCATTTAATTTCCATTCACTTTGAAGGCAATTCTGATGCAGCCCAAGCTGGGCTAGAAACAGATCCAACCTAAAGCCATGTTTGGGGATTAGACCCTGCAGAGGTGGTCAGATTTCAGGTAGGACTTTTTCAGAGTATCTAAAAAAAAGGGAAAAGGGCATATTCTACAGCGGGAACACTGTATCTTAACAAAGACAAAATGGTACACTCTACAGTAGCTATCCACATTTCTGTGGGAACACTGATTTCAGAGGTTGGGCTGTCTTTTATCTTACCTGGGATAAGAAGTGCCACATACAGAGACTCCATCAGAGCTCGTGAGACAGAAAACTAAGGAGGCTGTGAACCTGCCAGCTCCCAGCTGGAGAGAGAGATTAGAGCCATGGAGAGGTGCCAGTCTCCTAAAAAAGGAGCTGGACGCAGGTCCCGGAGTCCTGTATCCACATCTTGGTTTCCCAAGAATATGAATTTACTTGCACAAGGTGGGAGGAAGTATTTTCTACAGGCTTGAGTAAAGTCGTGGGAAACAGAAGTATGGTTTTTAATTTCCTGCCTTCTGGAAGGCTTCCTAAACAGTCTGTAATAATAATTATACCAAACATTTATAGAGTACTGACTCTGGGTCAAACCTTTCTAAACACTTCACCTGGATTATGTCATTTAAGCGACATCACAGCCCTATGGATATTTTACTTATCCCCATTTTACAGATGAGGAAACTGACTTCAGGGTCACAGAACTAGGAAATTAGGAGAGCTGAGATGGAAAGCCAGCCAGGCTAATCCTAGAACCTCAAATCCTTAACCTTTATCTTATAAAGCCTCTTGTTTCCTTTTTATAACCTTTTTATATATGGAGGATATTTATCAGAAAATGTAGGACTGTACTGTTCAGAAAGGTAGCCATCCAATAGGTAGCCGTTTGCTACATGTCACTATTGAGTACTTGCATTGTGGCTAGTGTTTGAAATGTGGACTGAAGAACTGGATTATAAATTAATCTAAATGAAAATACGTCTTTGTGATGAGTGCTTACTGCATTGGTCAGCCAGATACATAGAGGTGAGATTCTGCTATCACAGGAAGTTCTGCTGGACAGTGCCAGTGGAGACTGGCTTCTTTGTTGATTCTGATTTCCTACCTCAGTCTTTCCCTGTGTACTGAATGAACACCTGGGCTCCATGAGAGCAAAGCTTAGGCTCTCCTTTTCATTCCTATCTTCTCAGTGCCAAGCACATAGTAGACTCTCAGGAGACATTTGGTAAATGAATTAGGGACCACAGCCAGCCCTAGAGCTAGGTGCTGGAGCAAAGATGAAAAAGAGAAAAGAAAAAGAGATGAAAAGAGAAAAGATGTGGTCCCTGCCTGTGTGGGGCCCACAGTCTAAGGGGAAAACACATCAGTAGCTTTTTGACAGCGTGATCAGGATTGTGATAGAGGGAGAGCCAGGCTGTGACATGAGGAGAGCTGGGCCACTGATCCAGATCAGTGAGGTGGTAGTGGGTAACAAGAAGGACTTGGGGCCAGTGGGAGGGCACTGGCACTCAGAGAAGGCTTCCTGTAGGAGGGGGATTCTGAGCTGAGTGTTGCAGGGTGAATAAACACTGGCCAGGCAGAGCAGAGGGAGTAGGAAGGACCTGGCTGAAGGACTTGAGTAGTGGTATAAGCGTGACTCTTACAACAACCACCGAAGGTGGCAGCAGGATTGCGGAGCTAAGGAGCACAGGCTTTGCATTAATTTCAGACGTATTTGGCAAGCTTCAGGGCCCAGAAAGGGTGATAATAGGCCAAACTTGGTGGGATGGCTGTGAGGATTAAATGAAACATCTGTGAATTAGCACAGCACCTGGAATATAGTAAGCACTTAACAAATTGTAGTTATGATGGTAATAACAGTAGCCATAGTGATAGCAGCACTGAATGGGGTTAGGGTAGCAAGAGGAGTGAACGGAGGGAAACAGCTATCTGATGGAGGAAGGGTCTTGTTGGCCATACTAAAGAACATTACCCTGCAGGATGCTGTGGAAGGATGCTTGTGGAAGTGTTTTGAAACCCCATATTTGTCTCTTGAGTTTCAACTTGAGGCATGAAGATCCGCAGCCAAGGAGCAGTCACCACACTGCCTTTGCAGGGTGAGAGGTGCAAATAGTGCTTAAAGAGCAGTACAAACAATTTCTTAGCAAGATCCTCAGAAATTTGATGGGCAGTGGATGTTCTCATAGCTTCTCAGAGCCGATAGGACCTGTCTTAATTACTTTCTTTGTTACTAGGACACAATACCTGATAACCACAACTTGAAGACAGGTTTATTTTGGCTCACGTTTTAGTAGTTTCAGTCCTTGCATGGCTGGCTGTCTCCAAGGCAGGACAGTGTGGCAGAGGGACATGGCAGAGGAGAGCTGCTTACAACATGATAGACAGGAAACAGACAACAAAAGAAGCCAGAGAGGGACATAAACCCTTCTAGATCGCACCCCCAGTGAACTGCATTTTTTAACCACACTGCACCTTCTAATAGCATGTCAGCTATAAGCCCCCATAATTCAGTCACCTTCCCAAAGTCTGCCTATGAATGTATCTAGTCACTTATTACCTTCATCCATTCCTTTGCTCAGCCAGCAAATGTGTATAGAAAGTCCAGATGAAAACAGGCATAGGAACTGATAAGGCCTTACTGCCTCTGGAGACATATAACTAGTGGGAGAGACAATTTAGAAGGCAGATTCTCACTTTTTATGTAACTTTATTGTATCATTGAAGGGCAGTAAAACTTTACATAATTTTCTTTTTGAGACAGGGTCTCACTATGTAGTTCAAACTGGCCTTGAACTCACTACGTAGCACAGGCTGGCCTCGAACTCATGTTGATCTTTCTGCCTCAGCCTCCCAAGTGCTGGGATTACAGGTGTGTGCCACCATGCCCAACTACATAATTAAAGTATGTAACTTAATTGGATTTGGTATCTTATACACCCATGAAACAATCTCCACAATCAAATCATTTCTACTTTCCCCAAAAGTCTCCTTGTGTCCGACCATCTATAATCCATCCCGTTCTCCCTGTCCACTGCAACCACTGATCTAAACGTACTTTTTTTGGTGGTGGTGGGGTACTGGGGATTGAACCCAGGGTCTTTGAACTAAGCTGTAGTCCCAGTCCTTTTTAAAGTTATTTATTTTGAGACAGGGTTTCAATAAGTCACTAAATTGCCTAGACGGGGTTTGAATTTGTAATCCTCCTGCCTCAGCCTTCCATAGTGGTGAGATTACAGGCATATGCCACCACTCCCAGCCTAAAAGCACTTTTTTTTTTTGGTACTAGGGATGGAACTCGGGACCTTGCGCTTTCGAGGCAGGTGGCAGAACCACTGAGCTAAATCCCTAGCCCTAAAGCACTTTTGTTTTTGTTTTTATTTTTTTGAGATAGGGTCTCTATGCAGTTCAGGCTGACCTGGAACTCACTATGTAGCCCAGGTTGGCCTCAGACTTGCAACGATCCTCCTGCCTCAGCCTCCTGAGTGCTGGGTGCTGGGATTACAGGGATGTGCCACCACACCCAGCTCTAAAAGCACTTTTGATACAGTTTAACAAGTGCCACATTCAGATGAGCAGAGTACACGTGTTGGGGGAGAGCCTAAGTGAATTTCTAATCCAGAGAGGTGGGAGTCATGGAGGGTTCCTAAAGGAAATGAGGTGAGAGCTAGACTCAGAGGGACAGACATGGAGATGAGGACGCCACTTGGGATCATAGGTCTGCAATGTGAGCTTTGCATCAAATCCTACTTAGTGGTCTCCTTAACCTCGTGATCTTGGAAAGTTCACGAACCTTACTTTGTTTCCTCCTCTGGAAATGGGGAGAATTCTGTCTCCCTTTTAACTAGTTATAGATAAAAAGAAATAGGCTGTGGAACATGTCTACTCAGCAGCGGCACAGGGCAGGTCCTCAGCAAGTGGGGATTTTCATTATTATTGTTCCACCACACTCCAAATCCATCTCTCAGTGCCTGATATAGTCTGTGCACTTTTGTTTTTTGTTTTGTTTTGTTTTGTCTTTGGTACTGGGGATTGAACTCAGGTCCTTCTGCTTACGAGGCAGGTGGCAGAACCACTGAGCTAAATCCCTAGCCCTAGTCTGTGCACTTTTTATGGCCCATTTTTATGTCTCTGTAAAATGCTATTTCTTCCAACTAAAAAAACTTCCTTCTCTGAGGCTCAGCTAAGGGCTGACTGCCCTAAGAAGCCATCCTTCGTCTTCCAGGCACTGTTAATTTCTTCTTGCGCTCCTGTGGCCCCTTTGGGAGGTTTGAGCTGTCAGAATTGAACTCGGGACCTTGTGCTTGCAAGGCAGGCATGGTGCCACTGAGCTAAGTCCCCAGCCCTGTCATGTCCTTTTGTTCAGTGTTCCCTTGGTGGCCTAGATATGCATCCCCCCCACCCTCAGTGTGGACCCTGTAAGCATCTGGATGCTTTTATTCATGTGCCCTTCACTTGGCAAAATTGGAGTCAAGTGAATGTTAGTAGGCTTACAGGGAAGGTAGAATCTTAGGGTGCTTTTGTGAGTTAGCCCGGCCTGAGAGGTGTGATCTAAAAGGTAAAGGATCAACAGGGAGATGATCATGGAAAGGATCCCTCAGACCCACATGTTACGTGGCCCCAAAGACTCTACAGTTTGTGAACTTTCACTGGGCACTAGGAAGCCATAGGTGGTTCTGGCAGAGGCTAAAGACTGTCAGTCTTGGCGGTTCTATAGCCCTGAGGGTGGGGGAACTGGTTGATAACAGCTGAGCTGTTGCCTGACCTTTTTCCTGTTACAACTTCCACCAGAGAAAGCCACCCACCCTTAGGTAGTCTAGGAGAAAACTGAGCCCATCTTCTCTTTATGGTGAACAAAGTAAGGTCTGTTCATGGTAAGTGTTAGAAGAGAGAATTATAACTCTAAGCTGAGCACTTCAGCTACTTGATTAGAATCTTTTCTTTAAAAAAATTACTGAGGCTTGTTTTTTCTGGGCATTAAAAAAACAGTGATATGCAAGCGCAAGGACCCGAGTTCGATCCCCGGTACCCCCCCAAAAAAACCAGTGCTATGTACGGTATAATGCTATTTGTGTCAGAAAGAAGAAACAGACCCAAATACTTCATATGGATATATTTTAATGTAAATGCCTACAAATGAGCTGCCAGGACGCCAAACAGGTGCTGAGTGGTCTCTGGGAGATAATGGAGATTGGAAGTATAGTCACAGGTGACTCACCTCCTCTGTAGCACTGTTTTATTTCCTGTTTTTGTTTTTTGTTTTGTGGTGCTGGGGATCAAACCCAGGACTTTACCCATGATCTACCACTGAGCCACACTCAGCCCACATTATAAATTTTTGAAAGAAAAGATGCTATGACTCACTTTTTTTTTTTTTTTTTTGGTGGTGCTGAGGATTGAACCCAAGGACTTTGCACAAAGCCACACAGTCACTTTTTTTCTTTTGAGACAGGGTCTTACTAAGTCATTAAATCTCCCAGGCTGAGCTCAAACTTGTGATCCTCCTGCCTGAGGAGCCTCCCAGAGTACTTGGAATTACAGGCATGTACCACCACTCCCAGCTTCTTACTTGTATCATTAAAAATCAATTTTAAAATGTTAAACATTCATTTTGTTTAAAAATTGGAAACTATATTCAAGCCACAATCTCCTTTGCTGCCTCTACCCCCAGAGATAACCGGTAGTAGCTTTGGAATTTCATCCCACTACTTTGTTTTTTAAAATTTGCACCAGCATATGTACTTTTTTTTTTTTATAATGTACTTTTTTTAAACCTCAAAACTGATTATATTAAATAGAGTTTTGTGTCCTGTTTTCTCCTCCCTTAACTTTTTCCCCATGCCATCAAATACTCTCCAAAAACATGGTTTTTAATACTGCCCTATGTTCCCGGGGTGCAACCATGCGCCCTTTGTCAGATACACTTGGTTCTTTATGCTTAAAAGTTCCTTGGAGGGTCACCAGTTAGAACAGCCAAGTGTTGTCATTGCTGTGGGTTGGCAAATGGGCCCTCGCTGACTAACCTCTGCCACGTTAACACGTGGTTTTTGGATCCCTAGCACCCCGAGCAGAAGGCAGACCGGTATTTTGTGTTATACAAACCGCCCCCTAAAGACAACATTCCCGCCCTAGTGGAGGAGTACCTGGAACGCGCCACCTTCGTAGCCAATGACCTCGACTGGCTCCTGGCCTTGCCTCACGATAAATTCTGGTGCCAGGTAACATTCTATCAAAATTAACACTAAGAAAAGCACATGACGTGCCCTGGGTTGGTTGCTGTTGTTGTTTTTCTTCTCCCAGGAGGTGCTCTTTTCTCTACTTCTTACACTGGATCCTTAACAGCAAATTGTGGTTTGGATTGTTGTCTTATATCACAGTTTTAATGATGTTAACACACCTTCCAAAGTGTCATTTTTTAGAAACTTGTGTTTAGCCCTCTGCTCAGTCGTACCTCCTTGGTTCCTTGGGGTTGGAGTATTGGCAATAGGCTGGGGTCCACCAGCAAGCACATGAACCTAAAGGGTAAATCTTTGCTGTCCCCTGTCACCTGGCTTAGGTAATCTTTGATGAAACCCTACAAAAGTGCCTAGACTCCTACCTGCACTATGTCCCTCGTAAATTCGACAAGTGGGTGGCGCTGACCCCTGAGGTTGCTGAAATGCAGAAACACCTACATCGGAGTGTTTTCCTCACCTTCCTCCGCATGTCCACACACAAGGAATCCAAAGTAAGTCTCTGATCCTGTGACTGGTCGCGACCTGACACCAGACACCTCTGTGCTGATTTTCTACCCTTGGGAAGGAAGGCTCTGGAAGCATCAAGTTTCCTCTTTGTCTCTCCTCCACCTTTATTCCCACCATTGGGGAAGAAATCTGTGCCACATCCTTATTCTCTACTTCACTGGGCCTTTGACACCCAGTGTTTTCATCAGTGGAAGCTGAGGGCCCTTTCCCAGGTGACACGTGACTGTGCCTTTACTTGTGCGTCAAAGGGTAAAGACATTGATTCTGACTTTTTAAACCCTGGCTGGGATGTAGCTCAGTGGTAGATTGCTTGCCTGGAATATGTAAGCCCCTGGCTTTCATCCCCAGCCCTGTAGCAAAATGATGATGATGATGATGATGATGATGATGATGATGATGATGATGATGATGATGATAGAATCATACTTTTTTTAAAAAAAACTTTTTTAGGATGGACATTGTCAAATATATGCATATACATATGCAAAACTTTCCTTACAAAGTACAGTGAATCCCATTTGGCTATTACCCAGCTTAACAATTAGCATTTTGCCACTCTTATTTTATCTCTCCCAGAGTTTTCTTCTTTTTCCTGGACTTTTTTGTTTTGTTTTGTTTTTGTTACTGGGGATCAAACTCGGGACCTTGCACTTGGGAGGCAGGTGGTGGAACCGCTGAGCTAAATACCTGGCCTTTTCCTGGAGTATTTTTATGCAATCCCAGACATCTTGGTAATCTTTATTTTAAAATTGAGAGTTGCTGTGCTCCAGGACTGTATGTGAAGCTCGGACCTGTCCATGGGGTGGGCAGACTGTCATTCACTAGCTGGTCCCTGGCTGGTGGGCCTGTAGGTTGTTTCTTATGAGTTTGTTGCTACTATACAAAGTATGAGCATTTAGAGAGTTTCCATCCTTTCTTTCTGTACTTTTTCTTAGGATCACTTCATTTCCCCTTCTGCATTTGGACAAATCCTCTACAATAACTTCCTCTTTGACATCCCAAAGATCATGGACCTCTGCGTGCTTTTTGGGAAAGGCAACTCACCACTACTCCAGAAGATGATAGGTATGTAGGACGTGGGGCCCAAAGAATGCACAGAGACTGCCCCCAGGTACCAAACCAGAGGTCACACAAGCTGACACTTAGATACTGCAGGGGATTCTGAGCAGTAGGGGTGAATAGTGCTTAGGAACTACTTAGCAGATATGTAAGTGTCAATGCTGAAAGAAGTGACTAGGGGGCAACTGGGAAGTGAAGACAAAAAATAGGGGAATATCAGGTATGTAGTTCCTCAAGGGTCTGGAAGTATTAGTGTTAGACCAAGTGTCAAAAAAGTGACAGAAATGAGGAAGTTTACTTTGGTGATGAGAGTTAGAAAAACAGTAACAGCTTATCTTTATTTGAGTGTGGCCTGGGCCCCTGACATGTCAAGCATATCACATATCCCCATTGGGTCCTCACAGCAGCCCTCAGAGATAAGTGTTGTTATCTGCCCACATACAAATGAGGAAGCCAAACTTAAACTGAGGGACTTGTGTGAGAGCATGTGACTAGTAAGTAGCCACGCTAGGACCTGTGCTATGGAGATCTGATCCTCAAGCTCTTGTTCTTTTTGCTCCCTACCTCAGGGATGATGGAGCTGCCTCAAAAATGGCACAGTTTACAACGTTGCTGAGGACAGATGGGACAGAGTTCAGAGAAGACTCTTTTGGGTTGTAAAAGGAATGGACATTAGCAGTTAGATCCCTTAAGGCAGTGGTGGGCCAGAAGTTTTAATCAGAAACAGAAGCACTGATGGGAAGTCACAGGGAATGCCCCAGGAAATTTCCCTTTGAATTGCAACTTATGCCATTAGGCCTAGCACAGGAAGGTATTCACCTGGACACCTCTTCCCATCTTACTCATCCCAGGATCATAAGGCAGACACAGTCTTCTAAATATTGATTACAAAGCTGAGTTATCCTGTGTGATAGTCCCCTTCCTTTCGTCCTTTCTTCTCTTAAAAGATTTGAAAGGCAGTAAACTATAAAGAAGCAGGAAAACAATTATCAGATTCCTGCAGAGAGACAACTATTTGGTTATTGGTTCCTTCCAGTCATTTTTGGTTTTGGGGGTTTTTTTGAGACAAGAGTCTCACTCTATTTATTTAGCTCAGGCTGGCCTTGAACTTGCCTTATACCCCCGGCTGGCTTTGAACTCATGATTCTCCTGTCCCAGCCTCCCAAGTGCTGGGATTATAAGCATGCACTACCATGTTCAGCATCTTTGTATATTTTTTGTAAAACCATATTAGATCATAATGTATACATTTTGCATCTAGCCTTTTTCATTGGAACAGTCTGTTTTCTAATTCAAATCTAATTATAGCCTGATCACCATTTAATCCTTTTATTGTAAAATTTTCCCAGGGGAAGACTCTTAATAATTTTACTGTAGACTGAGAGGATGGGGTGAGTGAGCAACAGAAGGTATGATTAGTTAGGAAAACAATTACTTGGCCAGTTTAGTTAGAGTGGAGCATTCCAGGAAGGCAGCAGCAGGAGGTGGAGAGGAGGAAGCTGAAGCCACATCAGGAAGGGCTCCATGCCAGGCCTCAGCACTTGGGGAGTGACATTGCTCAGTGGCTAAGACTGCTGGCTCTAGAAGTGAACGGCCCAATTCACAACTCAGCTCTATTCCTGACTGTGTCAACTTAACCAAGTCAGTGAACCGCTCTAAGCCTCAGTTTTTTCATCTGGAGAATGGGAAGACTTATGACATACCTTCCATAAAAGGTGCATTGGAGACTAAATAGAAGGTAGTGTGAATAGCATGCTCAGCACAGAGCCTGGCATGGCACTAGTACTCAGAAAGTGTGCACTCTTACTGTCATGAGGTCATGGAGCCTAGAGCAGGGCAAGGAGCCATCTGGTGACAGATTAGTCTAGCAGCATGCAGGTGGGAAGGGTAGAGACAGGAAGCTACAGAGGATGTGGGAGCATCCAGGTGGGTGTGAAGGTGAGAGCCTGGTTGGCTACTAGAACAGAAAGGGACATCTGGGAGACAAAGTAGGGCTCCATGAGGCCAACTGGAAAGAGACATCTTAATAGTTCTGGAGAAAACTGATGTGAATTGCAGAAAAAGGGCCTTCAGGAGGTGGGAGGTATGATTGTGAGTAGGCATGAGGTCTCTGTTGGATGTGCCAGGTGTGAGGTAGCTCTGAGCATCCTACAGGAGATTGCATGGTGATGGTGGATTGAGCAGCTCTGCCCGCTGGCTGCCCTGGTTCCTAATCTCTTAGGTCACTAGCTCCTTTGAGAATCTGATGAAAGATGGTTTCATAGATTTAAAGGTGTTTTAAAAGTGTTCTCAGGTTCCCAGGTTGAGAATCCTAAAGTGACTTATTAAGGAGAGCCCTTCTTTGGCTTCTAGAGGGTGGCTAACAGAACACGGGTTAGGCCCGGACATCCAGAACCCTTCAGTGTGTGTGTGTGTGTGTGTGTGTGTGTGTGTGTGTGTGTGTGTGTGTGTGTGTGTGTGTGTGTGTGTGTGTGTGTGCAGGCGCACATGTGTGCATGTGTGTGTTTAGAGTGGCAGATGCAGAGAAAGGGCCTGTAGTCAGTCAGTCTGTTTCACTATCTCTGTCTCACTCCCTCTCTCCCTCTCACTCCCTTCCTCCTTACCTCCCTCTTGCACATAGCAGCTTTCTTTTCAATCCTTAACCCCAAGGCACAAGGGGCTGTCTCCACTTTCAGTAAAACAGAAATTCTTGGGCAAAGCAATCACTTGCAAGAGGATTGATAGGAGAGAAAAAGGGAACTGGTTAATTGTCCTGTGAGCACAAGCCCAGTCCTTACCCTTCCCTTTTTTCAAAGCCTTCAAGGCCGATATTGTGAATCAGCGAGTGTAGTTTTTAAAACAGAGCCTTTCAGTTAGCCTCTCTCGGAGCTGCTTTGCAAAACCAGAGTAAATTGGGTCATGGGCCTTTCCTGGACTGCACTGATATGTTTGGCAGGATCTCTTACTCACCATGGGTTTCTGAACTGCTTTCATTTGAGAACAGGCAGTTCAAAGGATGCTATTACTGTCCCTTACCTTTTTATTATTTCTTTAAGAGATCAGAAGCTAGAGAGATCTTCACTGTCATTGGAATCAGATAAGGGAGAGGAAAGGGACGCAGAAGACTCCAAGGGTAGATTGTGAGTCTGAGCTATCTTGATGCTTGAAAAACAGCATTGTTACAGGCTTTAACACTGGCAGGAGAGGGGGGAATACATTGTGACCCCAGGGGTTGTGGGAGGAGACACTCTGCCCGGAAGATGTGACACGGGCCTTATGGTAGAACTAGCTCTGGGAGGGAGATCATTTCAGGCAGCAGGAGGAGACAGAGTTTGTTGTCTAAGGGTGAGGATGGTGGTGCAAGGGAGGACTACAACACAGGGAGTGGGGAAAAGGTGGCCCAGGATGCCTGCAGGGGCCAGATCTCACAGGGCCTTTTGTGCTCTGGTCAGGAGTTCAGACCTAACTTTGAAGATCAGGATAGGACTTTATGAAGAAGAGCAGAGGTTGGTAGGGGGAGAGCTCAGACATTCCTGACCTATCCAGAAGAGGAGTTGGGAGCATATGGTCAGGATTCACCTTTACAGGTTGCAGTACCACCATGAATCTGGAGTGGGAGGTCCTGAGCAACCCCAGGATAGTCCAACTGAACTCTCTGAAATCAAGGGGTGAAGTGGTGTTCAGGAAAGTTGACAGAAAGTACAGTAACTAGTGACTTTCTTACTTTAGATGCTCTAGGATGGGACCAGGGTTGTCAGTAAAGAGACCATGCCCAGGGACCTCCCCAGAGACACAGGACACCTAGAATTCAACCTACTACTAGCCTTAGATAGATGCAAGGATTATGATGAGATGAAGAACCCTGGTCTCTTAAGGGCGCTAGCATCTGTCATCATCTCATGCCCAGTTGTGACTTTCCTGCCTTCTTCCCTCCCTCACCATTTAGGGACCAGAACACTCTGTTTCTGCTCCAGTTACCATATGCTCCAACCTACACACGTACAGCAGCATCAGTTGGAAGAGTAAACACTCAGAGAAGAGCTCTTTTTTTTTTAAGTAGGAAAACTTTGAGAGAAAGAAAGCCTCTAAAAGAAAGAAAGACAGACAGACAGACGGAAAGCAAGCTTCTGTCTAAGAGAGACAGAAGGGGGACCACAAAGTGGGTTGCCCACTCACCCAACTTCTCAAAGGTGCTTTATGGGACAAAACCACAAGATGAGGCTGGTTCAAGGTAGGACAAAACTATAGTCAACTAGTGAGATTGCAAGCCCAGTCGCTTAGGTAATATTGATCCAGTGACAAATCACAAGGTGGACAAAACTATGAACAACCCAATAAGGTTATGACAAGTATGGTCGCTTAAGTAATATTGACTAAATGAGGATCCAATGGGGAAATAAGTCACATGGCAAGCATACAAGGAATGAGCAAGGATTTTCCGTAGTAAGAGGTGGGCCAGGGATCTTTCTTGGAAGATCTTGGTCTCGCACCCAGGTGATTGATACCTATTTAGAATATCAATCACTGCTATTCATGCTATGTGAGTGTGGTAGTTTCAGTGAATGTGTCTTGTTTGTCCTCCATGATGGCTCTTCCTGCTCTGGCCTTGTCTAACTGCCTATAAGATATCTAATTAACTTACCTATCTACGATATTCCCCCTCTGAAGAAGTACCCCTAACTCCTGTGAGGGGACAAAGGGCGAAGACTGTTCTGGCTACTTCCAGCTGAAGAGGATCATGGTTATGATCAGCAGTCAGAGTTATTGTACAGAGGGTCTATCTAAAGGCCCTCCATAGGCCCCAGGCATTGTCATCTTGGGTAGGCCTATAGCTTTGAGTTTCCAACACGTAATCTTGACCAGTAATCTTGGTGGAAGACCTCCAAAATGATATAGGGAAGAGATGTAACTCCCAAACCTGCTAGATATCCAAAATTCGTGTTCTCTAAAATCGAAGAATGAGTTCGATCCCCGGTACCAAAAAAATAATAAAATAAAATTGAAGAATGAATTCTAGGAACAACGGAGGTTAAGAGTAGGAAAAATTTATTGAGAGAAAGAAAGCTTCTGTCTAAAGAGAGTCAGAAGGGGGACCAGAAAATGGGTTGCCCCAAGAGCTCCATCTTATAGGAACGACCACACATGTGTGCTGAACCCATCTCTAGATCCCTTTCACTTGGAGTAGAATGAAGTGGTAGCATATTCAGAAGTGAGAGGATTTTTAAAGAAATTTTTCCCTGGAGGCTCCTTACATCTTTGGAGGCATGCCCTGGCATTGTTGCATCCAGGTTTCATGAACAAAGAGATCATATTTCCTAATTTTCCTGGATGTCTAACTCCCACTTCTAAAGCCAGTGCTGTCACACTTGAGACATGGTGCCTAAGTTTGGTCACTCCCTGAGGACATCAGGGCAAGCCGGTTTGACCAGGGCAAGTCTTTTATGTAATTCAGTAGACAGAAGTACTTAAAAGGTTAAATTGTACTGAGGAAAGTCCCTCCCCAATCTGGGGGAAGTTTCTAGGCTGGGCCAAATCTCAGTGCCAGCAAGGCCCAAGGCCAGGACTTGCCAAAGGTCCTAACTGCAGAGATGCTTAGGAGAAAGAAAGATCACAGAATGTGCAGGCAACTGTTTCTAATGTAATCTTTCCACCTCTCCCTACTTTCTCCCCCCGACCCCCGTCTCTCTGTCTCTCTGTCTCTCTTTGTAGGAAATATCTTTATCCAGCAACCAAGTTACTATAATGACCTGGATGAAACCATGCCCACCATCCTTCAGGTACCAGCTCTTGGCCCTGCCCAGGGGAGGGTGAGCTGGGGAGGCAGACCCCTTCCCCACTTGGTGGTGTTCTTTGGCTTTTTTGGAAGAGCTGGGGAGAAATGTTTATTCCCTACCTCTTACTGTAGACCATCTTCTCAGACTCTCTTGGTCTTGTCTCTGACCACGCCCCTTTGAATTTGCCCTTTTGTCCTCTTAAACAGGACTGAAATCTAAGGGCTGCCTGACAGTCACACAGAGTCATATGCCTCTAAGGACATCGCTCCAAGTGACCTGTGTTTATCAAGAGCTTTAAGTTTCACAAAATCACTTCACGAAAGAATAATGTTCACTGTGGAAAATATTAAAAAACAGGAAGGAGAATATTGCTATTCTGGGGCTGGGGATTTAGCTCAGTGGTTCCGCTGCCTGTCTCGAAAGTGCAATGGACCCGAGTTCAATCCCCAGTACAAAAAAAAAAAAAAATTGCTATTCCCCCATAATCCCACCACCAAGAGATACCCACTGTTCTTAGTAACTTTTGAAATAGTTACATGCCAGCCCAAAGACGGCACTGTCATTTCAATACTTACCTGATTTTACCATGGGCTTTGTTTTTCCCCCACTGTTGTCTTTTATTAAAATATTGCTCTCATAAGTAGCTATCTGTTATATGTTAGTGAAGATATATCTCAGATGTTCATTACCATACATTTCCCCAGCCTATCTAGTCAGATCATATTTGCAGGATTCTTGGGGCTTTACATACATGTTGTGGAATTTTTGTTTTGTTTTGCAATGCTGGGGATGGAAGCCAGGGGTTCACTCATGAAGGCAAGCTCAACACCACTGAGCTATATCCCCAACCCCACATGTTGTATTTTCATCCTCTACTCAATTCCATAAGAAGGGTCCTTCCACCTTCCCCATCTTACAGAGTTCCTACTCTGACCCTGCTCTCTGAGAAGGTCATTAATTTTCTCAGCTGGTAGTTTTAGGATCACCTGTCCTGGGGTAGGAGTCCTAGCCACTGGCTCTTCCGGATGTGAGAGAGTTCCTTCTTGCCTTTCACAGGTCTTCAGCAATATCCTCCAGCACTGTGGTTTGCAAGGGGACGGAACCAGCAGTACACCCCAGAAGCTCGAGGAGAGGGGCCGGTTGACCCCCAGTGACATGCCTCTCCTGGTGAGATCACCCTCCACCCAAGTCTCTTTCCAGCTAGATCCTTCCAGAAAAAGCACTTGCTGCTCCGAGGATGGGAATATTGCCATGACAAAAGTCCCGGTGGTGGCTTCTGGCCCTGTTCATAGCTCCTTTCTCTGACTCAGCAGCTATTTCTTCCCATCATGTGGGTTAAGAGTATTTTCAATAGGCTTTTATTTCCATAGGGAACCTTCATTTGTGGAGTACTAAAAAGAATATGGCACTAGGAATCAGAGACAGGGCTTAGGCCTTACTTAGTTCAGCTCAGCAAGCTCCTTTGTGCATTACTCCTTGAGCCATTCTTTCATTCAGTGAGTTTATGTGGAAGGGCCTCCAGCATGTGCTAGTGGGCCCTGGGGGTGAAGCAGTAGCAAAACAGACATGGCACCTGCTCTCGTGTCACTTACCATCAGCGGCTGACAGTCAGAAGGCAGACATTTAAGGAGCTTGGATGTGTGTCAGGCACTATGCTAAGCACTGGAGAGAGCAGGAACAAGGTAGCTGAGAGCTGTCCTCTGGAGCTTGTGCTCTGCTGGGAAAAGAGCCATCAGACAAGTGTTTCAGGTGCTGTGGGAGCAGATCATTTTACCCCTTTAAGCTCAGTTTCCTTATCTGTAAAGTGTAGATCCTAACAGCTGTTTTTAGCCTATACCTCAGAATTATTGTGAGACTCAGCAACCAGATGAGCAAGCACCCCATGTCCTAAATACCCTCTTCAAAATGAGAGGAAAAAGCTGGATGTGGTGGCGCACACCTGTAATTCCAGCACTCAGGGTGAGGCAAGTGGATTGCTGTGAGTTCGAGGCTAGTCTCCACTACAGAGTGAGCTCAAGACCAACCTGAACTACATAGTGAGACCCTGCCTCAAAACACACACACACACACACACACACACACACGCACACGCACAGAGGAAAGTGCAGGCTTGATATTCTTGTCCTCACTGATCCTCACTGGGATGTACCTTCTCTCTGTGGGACCAGAGGGTTTGAGTTCCAATTCAATGCTTGGTTTTTTTTCTGTGTGGAAGAAAGACTATGTTATCTTTGAACTAGAAGTGACCTTGGCAGTCACTGACTGTGAGCCCATTGAAGTTGCATTAGCAGGGCCTTTGGGTGGCTCACCCAGATTGAGCTCCTGGAGATGGACCAGGCAGGCTATGTCATAGGGCCTCCCTTCTTTTTTTCTCTCCAAGTAATGGCCTGCCTGTTGGGGACCCTGACTTTTTTGTTTGTTTTTTGAGACAGGATCTCACTATGCAGTTCAGGTTGGCCTTGCACTCACTATATAGGCCAGGCTGGCCTTGAACTTTTGGCGATCCTCCTGCCTGAGGTGCTGAGATTATAGACATGTGGCATCACACCTGGTTGGGGACCTTAATTTTGACAACTGTTTCAGACTCTACAGAGCTGTCTGTGGGGCAGGGGAGAATAACGCAGTATTTTTTTTCTCTTGGCAACAGGAGCTAAAGGACGTTATTCTCTACCTTTGTGATACCTGCACTACGCTCTGGGCTTTTCTGGATATCTTCCCTTTGGCTTGCCCAACCTTCCAGAAACACGACTTCTGTTACAGGTACAGCGGGAGTTCTGGCTGTTGAAGTAGAGACTCCGGTCCATGTACTCATTCAACATGTATTTACTAGGTCCTTTGAATGTGCCAATCCTTCCAGCCTGGGAGTGCTGCAGAGAGGAAGACAGATAAGGTTCCTGCTTGTGAGCAGCCTGCATTTTAGAAGCACTTCTGGTTTTGGCTAAGAACAGAATGGGGCGGAGTGTAACAAGAAGAGAACAATTTCGATTCTGCTTTGTTTCAAAGCCCCTGTCATGGGCAGGCATAGGGAGTGGCAGTCAATATGAAGTGATCTAGCACAGGAGAGAATACACTCAAAGAAACAAGAGGTGCCCCTTCATGGTGGGGGGGGGGGGCTCACCTTTACAGAAATCTTTAAGATTGAACAGGTAGCCAGGTGTGGCACACACCTGCAGTGCTGTTTAGGAGGCTGAGGTAGGAGGATCGCTTGAGCCCAGGAATTTCAAACCAGCCTGGGCAATATAACAAGACTTTGTCTCAAAAAAAAGTACATACATAGAATCATTTTCAAATATATTAATAATAGAAGAAAGAAAACAACTACCACCAGCTCCCTCCCTACCTTAGTTCTCTCAGGCAAATCCATACTTGCATGGCGTAGCCAGCCTTGCTCTCACCTCTGCCACCTCGTACCCATGCCTTTCTGGCTCAAATTCAGACTCCCCAGCTGAGGCACACAGCCCTTCACTGTCCTCTTACTTTCCCTCAGGCTAACACTGCCACAGCTCTACTTTTCCTCATTCTCTTCCTCATTCTCCTCCCGCACCTCCCTCTCCTCCTGCGACATTCTAATCCCCACTCCATGTGCTTCCTGGTCATGCTCACCCACGGAATTCTTCCTTCCCAGAACCAGATGCACTGCACGTAGAATAGGCAGCCCTAACAATTGAAAATGCCGCTGCCTCTTTTCTGTGGTATAATTCTTCCTCCAAACATCTTAAGCTTCCCAAAGCCAGAACTGCAGCCTAAGTGCAGAATTTGTAGCAAGTGCTCTGCAAACACTTGTCCTCCCTTTGGCTGCTTTCTGAACTGCATCAATCTTATTGCAGGAGAAGATAACTAAGCCAAAAGAGGCAGGCTGTCCTAGGCATGGCACCAGAAGGGGACAGAGAAGGCACTTTGGCCCAGGCAGGTTCAGTTGTTGCCAGGATACATTGCTGAAGGGAGGGTAAATTGGAACAACCTCTATGCAGGGTGATTTGGCAAGATCTGTGAGAATTAAAGATGCACAGACCATCTGTCCCTTCAATTCTACTTCTAAGAATTATTTCTCACATATATTTGCAAAGGTGTAAAATGATATGTGTGCAAAGTTATTCTGTGCAGCATGGTTTTTGTTTTGTTTTGTTTTTTCAGTACTAGGAATTGAACCCAGAGCCTTCGCACTGAGCTACATCCCTAGCCCTTTTTTATTTTGAGACAGTGTCTTACTAAGTTGTTAAATTGCTCAGGCTGGGCTCAAACTTGTGGTCCTCCTGCCTCTGCCTCCCAGAGCTGGAATTACAGGTGTGTACCACTACTCCTGGCTTCACAGCATGTTTTTATAATAGCAAACAACTAAAAAAAACAAAAACAAAAACATTAAAAAGCTTGAATGTCCATCTATGGTGTCTGGTATCCCATATGCACAATGAAATTCTACCTAGCCATGCCCAACACAAAGGATGCTTAAAACATTGCCATTGTACCACCATTAAGTGGAAAAGCAAAAGGCAAACAACATACATAATACTCATAATGTGACGGCAATCAGTTTTTAAAAAGCAAGAAAAGGGCTAGAGGTATAGTACAGTGATAGAGCCCTTTCCTAGCATGCTGCAGCCCTGGGTTCAATCCTCAGAATAGAGGGGAAAAAAGGAAGTGTGGGAGAGTATATCAATGTACATATGCTCAAATATGCATATGTAATGCATATCTCTAGGGGGAAAAAAACCACTAATGCCAGTAGAACAGACCTGGAGGGAAGGGAATCTTTTCACTGTGTATTTTATACTTTTTGAGTTTTGAACCAAATGTGGCAGGCATTCATAAAATATAGCATTCATGTAGCATTCACTCATAAAATTAAAGGAAAGAAAAAGGCTTATCTGTATATATTGAATAGATGTGAGAGGAAGGAGGAGGAAGGTAATTGTGAGAGGAGTGAATGAAAAGCTGTCTGGGTGACTATAACTCCTTCCAGAGAGCTGTCAGGAACTGAAGTCACTGCATTTGCCGTTTGTTCCTGGATTCCAGCACAGCGGAACAGGCTGGATAAGCCAGGGCTGTGTTTGAGTCAAGGGCAGTCACTTTCCAAGTGTTTTCCTTTCTTCGTCCTCATTCTGAGATGGATACGGCCTCATCCCCGCCTCCACTATCCCATGCAGAGAAGTCCATTCTTCTGAAACTAACACCCCTAACTCCAAAGATCTTCCTTATTCAGGGAGATGTTTAACATGAGAAATTACTTATGATAAACAGGAACAAAAGATATAAAATTCTAAGGCTAGTCTGATCTCTTGTGATTTTTTTTTTTTTGTACTGGGGATCGAACTCGGGTCCTTGTGTTTGCGCAGCAGGCGGCGAAACCACTGAGCTAAATCCCCGGCCCCTCTCTTGTGATTTTAATTTCCTACTTTTCTGTATTTTCCAAATTTCCTACCAACTTCATACCCCTTTTATCATGAAACAAGATCCCTTTTTTCCACAGTGGACAGCTACAGGGCCATCCCAACTCCTTCCTTTTTCTTTTTCCCAGCTCCTTCTAGAGAGAATGCTGATCAGCACTTGATAATAACAATCTCTGTCCTGGAAGCTGATCCATCCTAATGATTTTTACAATCTGAAAAGACCAAGGAGGGGTCAGAGTACCAGCTGCCGTCTCTGGCACATGTCAGCACTCGATAAATGTTTTGTTGAATGAGTGAGTAAATGACAGAATGGATGGATGGGTAGACGGAGTTGGGTAGGCACCCGGGAGCTGTTGCGAATGGTGGGGAGAAATGCCTGGCAAAAATGACAACCAGTGGCCACTAAGAATGGGCCAGCATCTGTCATTGCCAGGCAGTATGCTGGCAGACCCTTTACACTGGCCTGGGGATGCCTGTGCCTGTAGTCTCCTTTCTTAGTGCATAAGGAAGATGCTGGCGGTGCTAAGTGGACAAAGTGGTCTTCCTTCTTCCCTGTATTCTCCTCCCTGTCTTTTTTCATCCCAGCAGGATCTCTGTGGCTCCTTTGGATAAAAGCCCCGAGTAGCTTCTGTTGCCCACGGAATAAAGACCCTACACCCAGTGAGCACTTCATAGTTCCTCCCAATCTGACTTTCACAAGAGACTAGAGTTGTCTCTTATTATTACTGACTCCTTTTCCTGTGGTGCCTCAGGTTATGCTGCACTCCCTGGCTCTCCCCAGACATACTCTGAGCCTTTGCACACTTTACTTCACCTGCCTTGAGTGCCCTTCCTGCTATTGTAACCTTTCTTTGTCTGGAACATTCCTGTCCGTTCTCCCCACAACCCCCTACAGGGCCTTGCTGTATTGCCAGGAACTTTGGCTGCTCCTTCTTTAGCCTCCCAAGTAGCTGGGATTACGGCATGCACCACCACATCCAGCGCCGGACCCCCCCTCCCCCGTCTGTCTCTGTGTGTGTGTGTGTGTGTGTGTGTGTGTGTGTGTAGCTTAAATTTTATATATATATATATGAAACATTTT